GAGGACTCACACCTGTTTACAGGCTCCCAGGCAAAGGCGGGTCTGCCGCTGCATCCGGAAGGTCCACGGGGAAACAGGAAAACCAAGGACAGAAACAGCCTCTCCTCTCTCTGTGCAGGATGGGGAGGAGCCCGCCCATTCACTCGCTGGGTGAGGGAGACCCCGCAACCAACCTCTTCTACCCCCCCCACCCCCCCACCCACAGGCCTGACCAAGTCCGGCAGAGCCTCCTCCACTCCAGGGCAGAGTGTGGTGCTCTCCTTGGTGGCGTTCGCAGTGACAGATCCCCAGACCCCCGGCCCGGAGGGAAGGCACAGGTCCTCCAGGCTCAGAGCCCACCGATGCCCCCCGCAGCAGCTGTGTGCAGAGGGAATCTGGAGGGACAAACAGCAACAGGCCAGCAGCTCCCCCATGGGAGCGGTCAGAGCCCAACTGGTGTGAAGTGCCACCGCTTACACCTGTGTGATCCTGAGCAAGTCATGGGCCTCAGTTTCTCCCCCAGGAACAGAGACTACTGGTGTCTCACTGTGAAGGGTAATGCAGGGCACATCCCCAAAGCCTACCACGCCAAGGGCCCTAGACAGACACTCACTAGGATCAGAGTCACGGAGCCCAAGGGTCACTGTACGAGGGGTCTCATGTGCCTGAGGACGGGGGCTGTGGTGGCCACTTTGAGGTGGTGGCCTCACCCGTCAGCCCCTCGGGCTCTGCCCCTGCTGCCCAGGGCCACCTTCCCTGAGGTCAGGCCCTTCCCAGGGCGGCCCACACCTGATGACCGATCGAGGGGGGAGCGTGAAGGCCCAGACAGCTCCCCGCAAGGGGGGACGTTTCTGAAGGGCTTCTCCAGCTCCGCACTCCCTGCGGCTGGGCCCAGGCCCGTCAGGCCCACACTGCGGCGGGAGACTTCCTCTGCCCGCTCCTGCGTCCCTCCCCTGCTCCCAAGGGCTCCCCCTCGGAAGCCCCTGCGCGCCCCACTGTCTGAGTCAGCTTCCCGGGAAACCCAGGCCGTGACAGGTGGCTTCTCTGTATCCTTTTTCCTTGGGAAGGGAGGAGGGAACCCGTGGGAGGAAGACAGTGGATGTCGTGGTGGAAAAGGCCAGGAAAGAGTCAACAAAAGGCACGGTGACCTCTTCCCTTCCTCTGCAGTGTAAACAGTGGTGTTAAAGCAGGAGCCGCACGGTGGGGGGGCAAAGCAACAGCACTCACCAACAGCATCCAGAATCTGTCCTGGCCTCTGTCCTCATGGGCAGAAAGACACCAAGAGACCACAGAGGAAGAACGGAGAAAAAAGATGGGGAGAAGCAGCCCCTGGGACCACATGGTACTGACCTCACAAAGACGGCCAAGGAAAGTGCCAGAAGCGTCCTTGGAGATGAGCAGATCGGTTACTGGAAAGTGAGGTGTCTTCAGACCTGTGTGTCCTCAAAGGCAAGAGCCCGAGGTCTTCCCACAGTGTAAACACCCACAGGGACGCCTCTGTTGGCCCCAGGAAGGGGCCTAAGTAACCAACCCAAACATCTTTGCTTGGCTTCTGGCTAGACCTGCATCAGCTCTGACAGTGACAGTATCCCTACCCTGCCTCTCGCTGCCAAGACCCTGTAGCGAGAGCCCTTCTTCTACTTGGAAGTAAAACTTCCTCCTAATTCAAGAAATGCAAGGTGTTGGGCAGACATGGTCTTTCAAAGGACACCAGATCTAGGGAAGAGAAGGCCTCCGTGTGGGGAGCCCCTCAGCGGGGCCGGACGCTTCGCACCACAGATCGGGGGGTGGCGGGGAGCCCTAGAAGACAGGAGGGTTTGTCCAAGGTCCCCCAGCAGGGCGAGGCCAAGGACTGACCGCCAGAGGCTCCGATGAGAGACTTCCTCCTCGGCCACACGGCTGGCCACGGGAGGTGCGGCCGGCCACTGGAGAGCCGACAGAAGCCCAGCTGTCAAAGCTGCTGCGGGGCAGGCCCTGTCCTGTGTGCTGGGCCGCGCGGGCCCCGGCACAGCTCTGCAGAGAGCAACTAGAGAGGGCAGCCAGCCCCAGCCCCACAGTCCCACCGCTGGGGGTTCCTCCCACAGCTGGGCTTGCACCCTGCGGATGGGCCCTTCTCAAGGTCCACCGGGACAGCTACATCGTGACCCCGGGCACATCCACACAGCGGTCACACTGAGCCAGCTCAACACACGCTGACGTCCAGACACCCCGTTCGTGGCAAAGGCAAAGAGCAGGTGCACGGCATGGAGCACGGGGACTCACAGACACACACACACACACACACACAGCACGAATATCCATTACACCCGGGGCACTTGACTAGGAGCCCAGGTGGGAAGGACATTCACTATTCACTGTGCGGTTTTTGGTTTGGTTTTTTTTTTGTGGTCTTTTGAGTTTTCTACCCACGAATACCAGGCTTCGGCAAAAAATAAAATAGGAGTCCACTTACGTGAACTATCCAGAATAGGTTAGTCCACAGCAACAGAGCACATCTGGGTGGTTTCCAGAGGCTGGGAGGGAGGGATAATGGGGAGCGACTGTTTTTTAGGGGTACGGGGTTTCCTCTCGGGGTAATCAAAATGTTTTGAAACTATTAGATTTGGTGTTTGTAAAACACTGAATGTACTAAATGCCGCTGAACTGTTTACTTTAAAATGGCTACTTTTGTGGTGTGTGATGTTCACCTCAATTAAAAATGAAAAACAAAGTCATAAAATAAATAAATACAGACATAAGACAGTTTTCCGCATCTGTGCTCAGGAGGCAGCATGGCGATGCTGGTTAGATGCTTGGGCAGAGCGTCTGAACCGTGGGCCTCGACTCGCAGCTACGCCCAGCACCACCACCTGGGAGGCCTCGGTTAAGTGATCGGACTTCCCTGGGGCTTTATCGTCCTAGTCGATGAAACAGGCCTAATGACAGAACCAGCTTCCCAGGGTGGTTGCAACTAGTAAATTAAATGGTAGAAGGTAATTGCCCAGCATGGGACCTGGTGCAGACTGGCCCCAGGGCCTTTGCCCCTGCTGTCTGCCCACCCAGAACGCCCTCCCCTGGGGCAGATGCTGCCTCCTTCAGGCCTTTCCTCAAGTGCCACCTTCCTGATGGGGTGTTCCCTGGTCCCCTGACTTAAAACCGGAAACCTCCCTGCCAACACCGGCTCGGAGGCTCCATCCCCTCCTCAACCTGTATCTCTCCCCAGGACTTGATTATGTATTTGGTCCGCCTCCTGTCTCCTTCCACTGCACTGTCTGTCCTGTTCATTGTGTACGCTGAGGCCTTGAGCAGGGCACCGCCCAAGGCAGGTGCTCAATAAACACATGCTGAATGACTAGGATTAGCGAACACCTCTGCCCGGATCCGGTGTGTAAGCCTGCCTGCCTGACAAAATAAGACTGTTTTGTCGTTTAATGAGCTCAGAATTAAAAATTAGGCACCAGGGGCACCTGGGTGGCTCAGTCGTTAAGCGTCTGCCTCCGGCTCAGGTCATGATCCCAGGGTCCTGGGATCAAGCCCCGCATCGGGCTCCCTGCTCGGCGGGAAGCCTGCTTCTCCCTCTCCCACTCCCCCTGCTTGTATTCCCTCTCTCGCTGTCTTTCTCTCTGTCAAATAAATAAAATAAAGTCTTAAAAATAAAATAAAAATCAGGCACCAGTTTACAGTATTTCCAGCTAAGTGTTATCCCCCCGGGGCGGGGGGGGGGGCAGGGAATCTGCAAAGGGAAAGAGACAGCAGTAAGATGGTGCTGTGTGCCCTGGAACATAAGCCAACAGTCACCCCAACCTCTCAGTGCCCTTTGTGCTGTGAGGGCTGGTCCCATGAGGCTTCAGGAGGCTACAAACCACCGCGCTGCCGTGGGCACCCGGGACCCCGTCCCTCCAAGCACCTGGGCCAAAGCCAGTCATTCACGGAGAGCTGACATTAGTAAGGCCTTCCCCGGCCCTGCCCTCCTCCGGGGGCCCAGCAGGCACCCTCCTGGGACTCAGCTTCCCAAGGCTCTCAGGCCTCAGAGGGGGAGATCGTGACCCCAATCCTCCGGAGTTCAAAAATGGGGGGGGGGAGACAAAAACCCTCAGACTCTTCTAAAAATAGGCTTTCTGGTTAGTTCTCCTATGAGACCACGACACCATGACTCCACAGAACAACAGATCTGCTTTCTCGCGGCCTGTGCAGAGCGAAAGAAAAAGCTGATGCCAGCAGTCGCCAAGAGTTCAAGGTCTGAGAAAGAGACTAAAACAAGACCCCGAAACTGTGAGTAACACCAGCAAGGAAGCCTCTTCCATCCCATTGGGCGCTGGGGCTGCGGGTATCACCTGGCTTCGGGCTGGAACCGAGGTGGGGGTTGAGTTCAGTTCGGAGACACCTCGTCCACAGGTCTCAAATTGCCCCGAGAGTCCACACATCGCTTGCTTTCTAGCCAGTTCCCAGGTGAAGGGATGCTGCTGGTCCAGAGACTACGCTTTGAGAACCGCTATTGCTCGAGTGCAAAGCCTTCCACGTTAGTCTTGCAACTGCACACAGGACCTGTACACACACACACACACACACACACACGGGGCCAGAGAGAGCGCCCCTGCCCAGCCGCTGGTCCTCAGATAGCCAGACCTGCCTGGCCCAGCCGCCAGTGGATGGAACCCACAGGGGTACTTGGACCCCAGAAGCTGTTCCCGTTCAAGTCCTGCACGAGCCAATCACTGCGAGGGGCTCTGGGGCACACCCGAAACCCCTGAAACCCAGAGTCACAGCATTTCCCTTTTCTGAGAGCAGTCATGAGCCATCCTGCCCCGCTTCACCCCATGCACGTGGGTAATCCCCAGCTGCAAGATCCGCTTTCTGCTCAGGGATGCTTTCAAGTTTCTGAATCTGAAGATGCAGCCAAAAGAGGAAACCACACATTTAAAAAAAAAAAAAAGGGGGGGTGGCACTCAAGGGGAGCTACAGCATCCCTGATGGGGAGCACCTCCCCCAAATGCAGGGACCTTGTCACCCACGGTGGGCAATGCCACCAATCTCTCACTCACCAAAGTAATCGGCCTTCGGGTGCGCATCCATTTCACGCTCCAGACGTTGGGTGAGGGCTTCTAATTTCAATTCGGCGGCTGAGGGCCCAAGCTCAGGGCCTGGGAGGAGGGTCTGGCAGGGCAGCCTCACCCTGGGGGGGCTGGGGCTCTCCGGGAGCCCAGGCCCCAGGCTGCCATCTGACGACCAGCCTGGGGGACCTTTACAAGACAACTCAGGCGGAGTGGACATCACTGGATGGACAAGGCTGGTGGGGCTGAGCTTGGGACCAATGCCAGGGTCTGTGCAGACTGGCTTAGGACCCAGCCCAGGGGCCGCACCCAGCTGCAAACTGTCCATGCTGGCTGGTGAGGATGATGAGGCAGAACTAGAAAGGTAAGATTTGGGTCCGTCTTGGAACCAGGGTTGAGGGTCCACCATGGGTTTGGGCATCGTGCCTGAAGCCTCACTCCCCACCCCCGAGTTTGTTCTTGGAAGAGCTCCTTGGCTGGGGCAGCTCTGGGCCAAGGGTGCTAAGAAAGAGGGGGGCCTGGGCTGAGGCGGCCCCAGGAGGGCCCCGTTTTCCGGGCCTGGGGAAGAGAGGCCAGGGCTCACCCTCTGGGAGGAGGCGGTAGTCCAAAGCCCAGCTGGCTTCTCATCACCACGGTCACCACCACCACCCTCCTGGCCGGTCTCAAATGACTTGCTGGAGCTCGGGGAGAGCTGAGGCTGGTACAGGGGGTGGTCCCTGGAGGGTTTGGGCAGTGGTGTGTCAGTCCCTGGGGTGCCAGGCCACCCACTCCCTGCGCCCGGCCTGACGCTGGGGGACACTCCTGGTTCGTCAGCCCACTTTGGGCTTGCCAAGGAGAGGTTGTCGTAATAGTCTCCGTGCGTGAGGCAGGAAGGATCCTCGCAGGGGCCCACCTGGCGGAAGGCAGACATCTCCCAGCTTGCCAGGCTCTCCTTGGGGCCACAGTCCTGGCTGCCGTGGCTCGCGCTGCGGGCAAAGGGCCTGGCCCTCTGCTCCTGGGGTGGGTACAACGGTTGCCCGGGGGCCAGGCAGGTGGCTGTCCCAGGACCCGCTGTCGAGGCAGCTAGAGGGGGCTTGGCTGCACCATCCACGGTCAGCTTGCTGCTCACACCGGCTTCCCGGCGGGCCTCTGGGCCCGGGGGGCTGCCACCGTTGACCGGGCCTCGGCTCCCCCTGGGCAGGGTCTCGTCCTGCAAGAGCTGTTGTTGCTGCTGGAGGTGGATTTTGGCCATTTTGGTGGCAAACACCCGGCGTGTTTCCTCAAACTCGGGATTGTTGCCTGCCCCCTTGTCCACTCGGAAGAGTCCATCCTTGGAGGCCTCGTACATGTTCAGGTCCTCAATGAATTTACTGGCCTCCAGGCCCAGGTCGCCGTACTTATCCATGTCGCGGACGGGCGTCAGAGCCTAGCGAGGTGTCGGGGGAGTGTGTGGGGGGGGGGGAGCGTCGGCCGCTGAAGGGCAGCGGTCAAGTCCAGCCGGGGACAGGTAAAGCCTTCCACCGGCCCGGCGTGACAGTCATGACCCAGGTCCGGCAGAAGTTGAGGCCTCGAGGCCAGCTGGACCAAGCTCGCTTCCAACTCCCTTTCCCCGCAGAGGTGTCCACGTGGGGCCAGCTGGTGGCGCTTCACCGTCCCAGCCTGCTGTGCGTTCTTTTCTCTCTTTCAAATCCTAAAAGGAAAAAGAAATAGGAAAAAACCCAGTCTCCTCCGGGAGCAGTCAAGCTCGGCAACCGACGCCGCGAGCAGCCGCGGGACGGGGCCGGGGGCAGCCGGCTCGGCCGAGAAGGTGGAGGCCGCCGGACCGGCCGCAGCGGAGGCGCGGGCGGCCGCAGGCGCAGGCACGTCCGGGGCGCTGGGGGCTCGCGGCTCCGGGGCGGCGCGGAGAGGGGCGCGCAGACGGGCGCACGGGCCGGGCAGGAAGGCCGCGGCAGCCGCGGCGGGCGGCCTATTGTGCGATGGCGGCGGCGGCCGGGCGCGCGCGGGCCGGAGGGCGGCGGGACGCGGAAGTGAGCGCGCCGGACGCAGTCCCCGCCGCTCGGTGGCCGGCCGGGCACGTCCCGGGCCGCGAGGAGGCGGAGGCGGGGAGGCGGGGAGGCGGCCGAGGGGCGGGGTCGGCGGCGGGCGGGCGGGCGCCCCGGGGCGGGCCTGCGCCTCGCCGCGTGGCCCCAACGCCCGCACCCCGGCCGGGCTGGGGGACGCGGGGACTGCGTCAGAGCCGGCGAGTGGGCATCGCGCGGGGGCTGCCCCGGCCACCTCGGTCCCCGGCGATCCGGGCTCCGGTCCCGCCCCGCCTCTGGCCGCGCTGGGCGAGAGGGAGGGGTGGGGTGCCTCCGCGGGTGGCCCGGGCGGCGCGCGGGGGCCCGGACGTGCCGCTTGGGACTTTGCGGGAGTCTCGAGGGCCCGCGCTCCTCGCCCCACCGTGCCTCAGTTTCCCGGGGCGGGGGGAGCAGGCCACCCCGTGCGCCCCCGAGGCCGCCTCCGCCCGGGCCGTGCCAGCCTCCCGGCTTGCCCGAGGTGCGCGATCGGAGGCCCGGGATCTCACCCGGGGCCGGCCCGAAGTTCTCTTTAACAGGTGGGCAGACTAAGGCATAGAAGGGGTAGAGTCCGAGATGCCAACGTGGGTGCCCAGGTCCTCTGGAAGGGGGAAGAGAAAAAAAAGTCACATTGTTCCCCGGAGCGCGCGCCTTTAAAGCGCTCAGCGCAGCAATAAAAACACGCACCCTGGGGACTCCTCATTCATATGGGGATTCCTGAACCCGACCCCCCGGTCCGCGCAACCGCGGGGGGCGCCGGGCCTGACTCCAGGGCGCCCCCGCATGGCCCGGCGCTCTCTGCACCAACTCCGAGGTGAGCCTGGAGAGGTGTCATTGCGCACACAGGCAGCCAGAGTGATCCTAAGGCAAATACCAGACCAGTCACTTCCTGCTTAAACCCTCAGTGCTTTCCCGGGCTTAGATTGAAATCAGCTCCCTACCAGGGCCTTCCCCAGCCTGATTTGGGAGCCTTCCACCGCTGTGCTCCAGCCGCAGGAGCTTCCTGGTGTCTGCCCAGAGCCTGACCTTGAACTTAACGTGGCTCATCCTTCCCATGTCTGCTGAAATCACCTCCTCCTAGAGGCCTTCCTTTTAGGCACTCTCTTTATTTTCTGATCGGTCTTGATCACTATTTATAATTCTTTATCTGTTGACATGCAGTGTGTTTGGTGGGCAGTTGGTTTTCCGCCTCCTAAGACTGTTATCTGTATGCCCGATGACTGGTACATAGTTCCTGATGGTTGAAAAGGTGATTTAGTGACTGTCTGCCAGGACCGTGGTAAGGAACAAATAAGGTAATATACATAAAAGTGCTTTGTGTATAATTACCAGGAAGCTTGTTGAAAATACAGAAATTCACGACGAGACCCCCCCCCCCCCCCCCCCCCCCCCCCGCAATCCAACCTACTAAACCAGGATCTTCATTTTAACACGATTCCCCGGTGCTCTGTTTGCACAACAGTGGAAAAAGCACTGCAGTAGAGAACTATATAGGATGAGGTATTTTTACTTTTACAAAGCCGTTTAATGTTTTTATCTACAAAAGTAATACCTGTTTGTGACAGCAACTTTGAACAATACAAGGATACATAAACTTTTGAAAAGTTGCCCACAATCCCCCTGTTCAGAGATCATTATTATTAAACAGTCCTTATGTATTCAAGTAATACTTATTCATTAATAGCTGGGCTTCCTCACAAAGTGAGTGATAGGCTTATGAACTTTCTAGAACAGTGATTCTCAGAGTATGGTCTCGGAGCCAGCTGCATCAGCATCACCTGGAACTGGTCTAAACCTGTCGTTCCCAAACTTGAACATGCATCAGAATTCCTTAGGGAGCTTATTAAACACTGGTTGCTGGGGGCGGGGGAGGCGGTAGGGAGCGCCTGGGTGGCTCAGTCGGTTAAGCGTCTGCCTTTGGCTCAGGTCATGATCCCAGGGTCCTGGGATTGAGCCCCACATTGAGTTCCCTGCTTGGCGGGGAGCCTGCTTCTCCCTCTCCTACTGCTCCGCCTGCTTGTGCTCTCTCTCTCTCTCTCTCAATGAGTAAAATCTTAAAAAAAAAAAAAAAAGAAAGAGAGAAAGCAAGCAAGCAAGCTGTGGCCCATTTTCCCTGACCCCCGAGTATTGGGGATGCAGCTGACCAAGTGCTGGGAGCACGTGGCCATCCCTGTGTCAAGACCGACAAGCCCAGAGCCAACTTCCTGGGTGTTCAGTTCTAACAGCTGGAACCCTGGTACTAGAGTCACAAACACCTGCCAGGGCTTCTTGTAAACCAGTTTTCTCTTTTCGTGCTAACTTGGCAGCAGTGCCTGGGCCCAGAATCCTTGGTCCCTACCTGCTCCCCACTCCAACCCTCATTTTGCTTTGCCTGGAGGGCTCAGAAGCCATGAGTTTTACTCCCCATCCCCACTGCAGTTCTAGAAGCTACTGCACCCTCTCCACCAACTAAACACAGACACCTGAACCCACCATCTGCATATTTTCTCACCAGACTGGCTTGTCCCCTCTCGGTCCGTGGAGTACCTTATACCTTTACAAAGCAGCTTATAAAGATGGCATCCCGTGAGCTTCAAACCACATAATATACTACTAGGAAGGGGTACTCAGACATGGCCAGCAGCCCACTGGATATTTAACCACTGCTGTTTAATATTTAAAAGACAGACATATTTCCCCATTCTGTGCCCAACATTTAGAATCCCAGCCGTGATTATTTACTGTAGGCCAGTTTTGTCTGTTCTGTGTGCTTGGAAACATCTGTTGATTAGAATCTCAAAATATGTGTTAATCCTTGCGCATCAGTTGTTTAAAAAGCAAAAATACTGAAAAGCTCAATATTTTTATCCATCAGTAGGCAGCGCATGGATAGTTTTGTTTTCGCGTTTACCGATAATGTTTTGTTTTGTTGGGTGAGAAATGTCCCACATTCTGTTTCACCAGGAAAGCTGTTCCAAGGCAGTGATCATTCCCCATGGCCCTGCCTGGAGGACCAAAGCTGTTATCAACACGCAGTTTTCCTTTAGTCTTGAAGCTTATTTTCATGAGCATACGGATGTAAAAAATACCCGCCTTCAGGGTGCCTGGGGTGGCTCAGTCAGTGAAGCGTCCCACTCTTGATTTCGGCTCAGGTCATGATTGCAGGGTCATGAGATAAAGCCCTGTGTCAGGCTGCGTGCTGGACGAGGGACCTACTTAAGATTCTCTCTCTCGGGGCGCCTGGGTGGCTCAGTTGGTTAAGTGACTGCCTTCGGCTCAGGTCATGATCCTGGAGTCCCGGGATCGAGTCCCGCATCGGGCTCCCTGCTCGGCGGGGAGCCTGCTTCTCCCTCTGACCCTCCCCCCTCTCATGTGCTCTCTGTCTCTCTCATTCTCTCTGTCTCAAATAAATAAATAAAATCTTAAAAAAAAAAAAAATTCTCTCCCTCTGCCCCTCCCCCTACCCTTCTCTCCCTCTTAAAAGTGCCCACCCGTGAACACACTTGTGAAATGTGGTATTTTCAACCTGACCTGCCTAGAATCTCGGTAACATCCATCAGGTCCTACACCTCTTCAGCTCCAAACCCTCCAGCAGCATCCCGAACCATGCTGGGAACAAGATCCTCCCCTTGACCCCATGTGATCGGGCCTCTTGCCACCTGTTCCTACCTCCTAATTTCCCTCTATCTCCCCTTCTTCCTCCATTTCTGCCACACTGGCTTCCTCACCATCCCTGGCTCATGCCCTCACCTTGCTTTCATTCACTCACTGAACAAACGTTACTGAGCACCTAGGATGCCCTGGGCCCTTTTCCAGGTGCTGAGGATACAGCAGTGAACAAAATAGACATGCCTGTCCTGTCTGGACTTACATCCCAGTGGGGCAGGATAGACAATAAACAAAGCAGATACATGGCTCATGGAGGACATGAGAAAGTGAGGAGAGAGGCGGCGAAAGATGAAACCAGGAAGAGGATGAGGAGGGGACGCCATTTTGAACGCACCGGTCAGGGACAGTCTCACTGAGCACAGACTTGAAGAAGAGCAAATGGAAGGAGCCCGTGTTGGAGACAGACATCTAAATAGCTCTCCTCAGGAGTTTTGTTGAGTAAAGCGGAATAGAGGGGGAAATGCCATCAAGAGAGGCTTTTTTCAATTTTGTTTTTTCAATATGGGAAATGGTACATGTTTCTATGCCAATGGGAATGGCCCACTGAGGTAGGTGGGAGTTGGGGGAGGAGAATTGCTCTTGGAGGAGAGAGAGAAGGGAATGTTTGGAGGGACATGCCTGAGTAGCAGAGAGGGCTGGGCTCCACTGCCTATTTCATCAATGTTGTAATAGAAAGGAGGTGTGCAAGATTCAGGTAGGTAGGTATCTAAGGCATCGGAATCTTAGAGTGGTACGTAGGTCTTCTGATTACTTTAATTTCCTCAGTGAAAGAGGAAGTAAGGAGAGTTAGCTGAGAGGGAGGCCAGGGAAATTGCTGTTGGGAACCTGCCATCTAGGGGAGTGGGAGAGTGAATGGCCTGGAGAAGCATGGAAACTTCCCCTTGGCTCCCAACCCCAACCCTGAGATCTGGGGCATGGATTTCAATGAGGCCAGCCAGCACAGTGGCGTGTTTTTCTCTAGCCAAGGTTCAGTTGCACAGATGTGGGCGTGAGGTAGGTGGAGAGCTGGATCTAACCAGGACAAGCTTCTGCCAAGTGAGTGCAACATAAATAGAGTGGGCAAGACAGTTGCTATTTCTCCTGCCTCCACCCTGCTCCCCTCCCCTGATGTCCCTTATCCGTGTGACTCCCTGGCTTATAACCCTCAGGTCTGCCCTCAGCGGTCTCTTCTCTGGGAAGTCCTTCTCAACTCCCTTTCTCCAACCTCATTCACACCTGACATAGCAGTGAACGTCTGTCTACTCACTAGGAGGCAAACCTCACCA